TCCTGAGTAGTGTCGACTACAGGTGCATGCCATCCTGCCAGCTAATTTTTGTATTTTTAGTAGATACGGGATTTTGCCATGTTGGCCAGGCTGGTCTCTACCTCCTGATCTCAGGGGATCTACCCACCTCAGCCTCCCAAAGTGCTGGGATTACAGATGTGAGCCACCACTCCCAGCCCCTATGGTTATTTAGAAGCATGCTTTTCAAATGTTTTAGGGTTTACTAAATTTCTTTCTGTTAATTTTCAATTTAGTGCCATCAGGGTTGGAGGACATACTCCAGATGACTTCAATCCTTTTAAGTTTATAGAGACTAGTTTTGTGATCCAGCAAAGGCTCTATCCTGGAAAATGTTCCATGTGGATGTGAAACGATTGTGTACCCTGCTGTTGTGTGGGAGCATTCTGTATGTTAGTTGGGTAAAGTTGGTTGGTAGTTGTGCAAGATTTATATATCCTTATTCATTTTATGTCTAGTCATTCTGTCAGTTACTTAGGGAGGGACTTGAAATTTCTGATTATAATTACTAAATTGCCCATTTCTCCTTTCCGTTCTGGCAGCTTTTGCTGCATGTATGTGTTATTCAATGCCCTGTCTTTATAATTGTTTTATATTTCTGATGTTTTGATGCTTTTATCATTATGAAGTGTTGCTATTTATCCCTAGCAATATTTCTTGTTTTAAATTCTATTTTTTTCTGATATTAACATAGCTACTTCAACTCCCTTATGGTAGCAGTTTGCATGATTTATATATATTTTCTTCATTCTTTTTGTTTTTGTTTTGCTTGTTTGCTTTCTTTCTTTCTTTCTTTCTTTCTTTCTTTCTTTCTTTCTTTCTTTCCTTCTTTCTTTGTTTCTTTCTTTCTCTTTCCTTCCTTCCTTTCTTTTTTCTTTTCTTTTCTTTTTTCTTTCCTTTTCTTTTTTGAGATGGAGTCTCTCTTTGTTTCCCAGGCTAGAGTGTACTGGTGTGATCTTGGCTTACTGCAATTTCTGCCTCCCAGGTTCAAGCAATTTTCTTGCCTCAGCCTCCTGAGTAGCTGGGATTACAGGCGTGCACCACCATGCCTGGCTAATTTTTGCATTTTTATTAGAGATTGGGTTTCACCATGTTGGCCAAGCTAGTCTCGAACTCTTGACTTCCAGCGATCCACCCACCTCAGCCTCCCAAAGTGCTGGGATTACAGGCATGAACCAGCCATATTTTCCCCATTCTTTTACTTTGAAACTACTTGTGTCTTTGAATTAAAATTGCTTTTCTTGAAGACAGCTTATGTAGTCATGTGTCAGTTAACGATGGGGATATGTTTTGAGAAATGTACCTTTCCAGAAACCTAGATGGTGTAGCCTACTACACGCCTAGGCTATATGGTATAACCTAGTGATCCTAGGCTACACACCTGCACAGCATGTTACTGTATTCAACATTGCAGGCAGTTGTAACATAATCAGTAAAAATATGATATAAAAGATAAAAAATGTAACACCTGTATAGGGCACTTACTGTAAGGACTTTTAGGCTGACTGATGGCACCATGGATGCTATATTAACCTCTGTGACCTGCACAGAGACTCCAGATGAATTCCTAGAAAATCTGAAGTAATTGGAAAACCATGAAAAGGGAAAGAAATTATTAACACCTTCAGAGCCTACTTAACTTTGAGATATTCTCTATTGTTCCTTATTCCCACCCCAATTGATAAGGCCATTGGACTTTGTAACCAACCTTGGTCAACCTCATGACTCCACACCCTATGACCCCCTACCAGCTTGCAAACCTACGACCCCCTCCCAGCCTGCTAAACACTGCCCTAAACTGTAACTTCTGTAACTTTCCACTGCCCATGCCAAACCTATAAAACCAACTCCTATCCCACTGCCCTTCGCTGACTCTCTTTTCAGACTCAGCCCACCCGCACCTGGGTGAATAAACAGCCATGTTGCTAACACAAAGCCTGTTTGGGGGTCTCTTCATTCAGAGCATGCGTTTTAACACTTACCGTGAATGGAGTTTGCAGGACAGAAGTTGCTCCAAGTGAGTCTTTGAGTGAATGGTGATTGAATGTGAAGGCCTTGGACATTACTGTACCCTATTGCAGACTTCATACACACTGTATACTTAGGCTACACCTACTTTGTTAAAAATAGTTTTCTTTCTTCAATAATAAAATAATCTTAGCATACTATAACTTATCTACTTTATACCCTTTTTAATATCTGAACTTTGACTTTTTAATAATAATATTTAGCTTAAAGCACGTATTGTACAGCTCTACAAAGTATTTTCATCTTTTATATCCTTATTCCATTTTTTCTATTTTTAAAATTTATAATTTTTTTTCCTGATTTTCAAACTTATTTGTTAAAAATGAAGTGACAAACACATACATGTGTCTAAGCCTCTACAGGGTCAGGATCATCAGTATCAGTTTCCCACCTCCACATCTTGTCCCACTGGAAGGTCTTCAGGGTCAGTAACATGCACAGAGCTGTCACCTCCTATGATAGCAATACTTTCCTTGGGAATATCTCCTGAAGGACCTACCTGAGACTGTTTTACAGTTAACTATTTTTTTTAAAGTAGATTTACACTCTAAAACAGAAAAAAAAAAAAAAAAAAAAAGGTATAGTATGATATACACATAAACCAGTAGCATGGTCATTTATTATCATTATCAAGTATTAGAGACTGCACTATAATTATGTGAGCTATACTTCATATGACTACTAGTAGATTTGTTTACACCAGCATCACCACAGTCTCATGAGTAATGCTTTGTGGTGCAACATTATGACAGCTATGACATTACTAGGCAATAGAAAATTTTTAGCTTCTTTATAATCCTATGGGGCCACCATTCTATATGCAGCCTGTCATGGACTGAAATGTCATGATTTGGTACATGACTGAGGCTTGAGCTTGGTTTTTTTGTACAGGTTGATAATTGCCTTTTAATTGGTGTGTTTAATTCATTACATTTAATTATTGATATGATTGGATTTACATGTGCCATTTAACTATTTGTTTTTGTATGTCCCATGTCTTCTTCCCCCTATTCTCTTTTGCTGACTTCTCTTGTGTTAAACACATCTTTTTTTTTTAAGTGTGAGACATTTTAAGGCCTAAGTTATTTTATTAACTATTTCAAAATTCAATTTTCTTAGTGGTTACTCTAGGGATTACAATACACATCTTATCACCGTCTACCTTAGCTTAATACTGGGAATTTTCAAAAATATAACAACTTTGTTTTAATAGCTCCATTTTCCATTCTTTGTGCCATTAGTGCCATATTTATTATACCTATCTATGCCATAAATCCAACAGAACAGTGGTATAGTTGTTGCCTTATGCAATCATAAAACATTTAAACAAACATTTAAACTATTTTATATTAACAAATATATATATATGTCATATGTACTTATATATATCTATAAATATATATTTAAGCAGAACATTTAAAACAATCTCTAATAATAAAAGAGAAAGAAACTGTTCATACGGTCTTTTATGTTAATCCACATATGTATCATTTCCATTGCTCTTCATTTCTTTCTGTGGATTCATTTTCTGGTATCATTTTCTTTCAACCTGAAAGTCTTCCTTTAGTATTTCTTATGGAACAGCTCTGCTAGCTGTAGAGTTTGTTTTTGTACATCTTTCTTTTGAGGCAGAATCTTGCTCTGTTGCCCAGGCTGGAGTGCAGTGGCATGATCTTGGCTCACTGCCACTTCCACCTCCAGAGTCCAAGTGATTCTTGTGCCTCAGTGTCCTGAGTAGCTGGGACTGCTGGTGACCAACACCATGCCCGGCTAATTTGCATTTTTTGTAGAGTTGTGTTTCACCATGTTGGCCAGACTGGTCTCAAACTCCTGAGCTCAAATGATCCACCTGCCTTGGCCTCCCAAAGTGCTGGGATTACAGGTGTGAGCAGCCGCACCCAGCCTGTTTTTATATATCTTTAAATGAATTTATTTTACCTTCATTTTTGAAAGATATTTTGCTGGACATAATATTTTGAAAGATATTTTTCTGGACATTGGTTGACATTTTTTTTCTTTGAGCCTTTTGAATATGTTGTTCTACTCTCTTTTGGTCTCCATTGATTCTGATAGAAACTCACTGCTAAATACATTGTTGTTCTTGTGTACATTGGAGTTATTTTTTTCTTACTGCACTCAAGATTTTTAAATTGTCTTTGGCTTTTGGCAATTTCACTATGATGTACAAATCTTTTTGTGTTTTTCTTACCTAAGTTTGTTGGGCTTCTTGAACCCGCTGATTAATGTTTTTCAGCATAGTTGGGAAGTTTTCAGGGCATTATTTCTTCAAAAAAATTTTTTTTTAACTTTTCCCTCCTCTCTTCCCCTTCAGGACTCCTATTTTATGTATGTTGGTATGCTTGATGTTGTCCCAGAGGTGTCTGAGCCTCTGTTCATTTTTCTCCAATCTTTTTACCCTGTGTTCTTTAGAAAGGATCATTTCTTTTTTTTTTCTTCCCTTTTTTAAAAATTTTTCTGAGATGGAATTTTGCTCTTGTCACCCAGCCTGGAGTGCAGTGGCATGATCTCACTGCAACCTCCACCTCCTGGGTTCAAGTGCTTCTCCTGCCTCAGCCTCCCAACTAGATGGGATTACAGGTGCCCGCCACAATGCCTGGCTAATTTTTTATATTTTTAGTAGACATGGGGTTTCATCATGTTGGCCAGGCTGGTCTCGAACTCCTGACCTCAGGTGATTCACCTGCCTCGGCCTCCCAAAGTGCAGGGATTACAGGTGTGAGCCACCATGCCTGGTCACAGAAAGGATAATTTCTACTGATCTATTTATATCTATAGATGTGAGATGACAGAAGGAAATAATCAGTAAGTTCAGACTCCTGCTGTTCTTGTATGACATTTGAGCAGGTTTCACGAATAGACCCTTTTTAGTTTATTATTTGTTTTTGGTTGATTTCCAGTCCTAAAATACTTGTTTAAACAATTTTATACTTAGTTTTTAAATTAAATGCCTCATGAATTTGTGTGTCATCCTCATGCAGGGGCCATGCTAATTTTCCCTGTATCATTCCAACTTTAGTACATGTGCTGCTGAAGTGAGCAAAACAATTTTATACTTTTATATTTGTTTTTGGGGGAGAGGATTGGTTCACCCTTTTAGGCTTCTCTAACTTGACGTATGATCTCTGGTGTGTTTATAGTTTTTTTAAAAAAATGTTTATACTTGGAATTTTCATTTTGTATAATCAATTGCTTGAGATAGGCATCTAACTTTATTTTTCTTCCTAATGAATAGATAATTTGCCAAACAACTTCCGGCTGATTGACTGCATACCCAGCTTCAGTCTGTTTGTGTATATAATTTTTGGATGAGACTAATGTTTGAGTATGTTTGTGTATGTTGGTGCAGCTGTGGAAGAAAACAAATGACATGTATGTCCTCAAAATAAAATGAATCACCTCAAAATATTAAGATAAGATGGAAGCATTTGTATGCAATGGATGAGATTAATCTGTGAAGACATCCCAGAAATTACCAGTGTTTAGATTGTTATTTGTGATTGTGTTGTGTTTGACTTTGAGCCATTCATGACTCTACATGCTTGTTTTTACATCCTGTCTACATTTTTTCCTGTATCTAATCTTAGTCCAACATTTTGATTTTAGCTTTTCTGCTATTTTGATACACTTGGCAACAACGTGGGACCCTTATTTAAAAGTGCAAGTGCCCTTATAAAAGAGACCCCAGAAAGATTCCTAACCCCCTTTACCATGTGAAGACACAGAAAAAGACAGCCATCTGGGATCCAGAAAGCAGACCCTCATCAGATACCAAATCTGCCAATACTTTGTCTTTGCACTTCCAGCCTCTAGGACGACAAGCAACTAATTTCTGCCTGTTTAGGAGCCACCCAGTCTATGGCATTTTGTTATAGCAGCTTGACCAGACTAAAACAATGACTCATATATAAGGAAAATCAACGTTTAGCAAGTCATTTTTATGGCAATGACCCCTCACTCAAGGATATTCAGCAGATAATTGCAGAAGGATATAGGAATTCACCTCTGTCTGCAACAGTTCCGAAAAAAAGTCTCTTAAACATCGCAATTCAAGATGATGAGTTTTCTTATTGAAGATGGCCATTCCTTTCTAGAGGACCAAGAACTTCACTTTATTGCTGGCAGCATGAACTGCTCATGGCAGCATGAAAAAAACAGAGTCCTGAATATGAAGTAGAAAAAAGGAAAGAAGTCATGGCTCAGTTGGTAAGTCTGGGGCTTTTGGCAAATTCAACAGGAGGATGTGTCCTGAAAGAGAAATGGGCTTCATTTTAGGTAGGTAACTATATCTCCACAGTAATTAGAGACAGAGTACATAAAGCACATCGTATGACATAGGATTCAATAAATGGTAGTTATCAATATCTTCATTGTTATAATCATATGATAGTTATTTTGTGATATAGCTAAAATAAAAAAAAATTAAGAAAACCAGCCACCCCTAAATGAAATGTTAGGGTGAAATTCCAGACTCTGAAAAGCCAAGTCCCAGATAGAACCATAATGCCAAGCCCCCGTATGTGGCAGTACTGTGCTGAGAGGTCAGCCCTGCCTGGAAGCGTCACCTACCTTGTCAGTTGCACCATCACTGTAGTTAGCCACCTCATGCTGGGGGGTTTTTCTATGGCATACAGTAGGCCTGCTGAGAGAGTCTTTGATGCTATTTATTTGGGCTGATATAAGATCTATGGCTGCCTACATGGGCAACATTTCAGGGGTAGCACACAGGCTTTGAGATCTGGATCCAGCACGACTCATCTCCTAGCTGTGTGAGCTTAGCAAGTTGCTTTATCCCTCAAAGACACAGGTCTCTTATCTATAAAACAGGGATGATGATACTTTGCAGGGTTTTTGTGAAAATTGGAGATAATATGTAGGAAGTGTTCAGTACGCTACAAGTGCTACATAATGGTATTATTTAAACAGTTCAACAGCATCCATTAATGAGCCCTATCTTGGAGGTTTTACTTGAGGATTAAAAGAAAACAATATGTAAAGTACCTAGTACATAATAGACTCTTAATAATTGGTAGACTGTTACCTAAATTTCAAGGAATACAGTTTTCAAATGGACTTCTTTAAGTGTAATTCTCAATTTGTAGTTAAGAGGCTTGGGTCTTGGATTTAGAGCTAATTAACTGTGTACTCTTAAGCAAATCACTCTGGGTCTCAGTTTCCTCATTCAAAAATTACATATTTGCACAAATGAGAAACAAAGTATCTTTTTTTAATAAATTGGAAAGGAAAGTTTCTTTACGCTTAGCAGGGAAGGAGCTTTGGAACACTAGGGAACATTTGAGAAGGCTAGCTTAACACTACTAAGTTAGGGTCATTAAATTTTCAAAATGAATGAATTCATTACAAATAAGAGAGGAAAAAAAATAGTTTATATGTAGCCGAGTTAATTCATTCAGACACATTTGCTGTGCACCTGAGTCTTGAAGAAAAGTCTTGTTCATCTGAGCTCTTCCAAAAGGGATTTTTGATGCAGTCTTACATGTTTTGCTTTCTTCTCACATCAAAACATTCCACATACTTTGAATTTAGATGCAGCCCTTCCTTCTGGTATTAAGGAAGCAGTGAATACATCACCATCAGCCTTCTTTCTATCAATATGAGAGACCTACCTGCTGGTTTTTGTTTTTTTTTTTTTTCTTAATAATAAGAAGAACACCTTGTTTTGCCAGCCAAAAGATTCAGCTTACCTTTAAAGAACCTTTCCTCTTAATTAAAAAGCTATTAATTACATACTTTGCAAAACACTTCTTTGAGTTAAATATTGGTATTTGTGGGGGAGGGGTGTGGGGAGAGGTTGGTGAATGAGAAAGCTCTGCTTTGGGGATTTTGATACAAAAACTATTAAGGGATTATGTGGTTGCCTTAGCCAGTGCATACATTTGTTATGATCCATTTATTTGTTCTGGTATGCTCAGTGCCTGGCACATAGTACAGGAAGCTGCTAAAATGTTTGTCGAATTAGTAAATGAATACGAAAAATGTCTTTTCATAGTGTCCAATAAGGAAAATAGCATAAATAAACTTTAGTGTGTTTCTGGTAGATCCCATTTGTATAGCATTTAATTGGGCAGAGCACATGGGCTTTGGGAAATTGGGTTTAGGAGCAGTCAGGGAAGTGGGGAGACTGGCTTAGCACCTGATGGGACCTCTTCCTTCAGACAGAGGAAGGGATGGAGTAGTGTGAGGAGGTTAACAACCCATTGCTGTGGGCTTAGCATTCAGTCTCCAGCCCAAATAAGGCCTGTTGGCTTCCTCCAACTATAGTTGGGAATTGGGTGTGCCTGTGTGGGGAGGATGGGTAGGAATGGCTGAGCCTTGCCTGAGTTATTGGAAAGAAGCAAAGGTTGCACAAACAAAAATGCTGAGACTAAAAATGTGTTTATATATGGTATGAAGCAAGTGAATGACTCTCACACTCACATTTGGTACTTGATGCCACTTTTTACGAATGATGACTTTTCATGTTGAAGATGCCCCTTCCTTTCTAGAGGACCAAGAACTTTGCTTTGTTCCTGGCAGCATGCACTGCTCATGGCAGCATGAAAAAAACAGTCTTGAGTATGAAGCAGAAAACAAGTAGACTAGAAATCATGGCTCAACTGGTAAGCTGTGGGGCTTTTGGCAAATTCTTTAACCTCTCCAGGGCTCTGCTACAACATCTGTAAGGTGAGGCATTTGGACTAGGGGATCTTTTTTATTCAGCAACATAAACTGTGCTGGGTGCCAGGCAGTGGGATCTCAAGTTGAGTCACACACAGTCTTGATTCACATTCTGGCTGATAAGAGCTGGAATTTAAAATACCAGCAGACACACAGGAAGGAATGATTCATTCTGTTTGCTAGGGCTTGGAAGCTAATATTTGAAAAGTATGAATTCCCTAGAAATTTATTAATTTTGTCATCATTCATTCGCTCATTCAACAAATGTTGACACTGTGGCAACTGTATACAAGGGTGCCTACTGTCTATGAAGGATGGGGGAAATAGTCATGAAAAAAGCAGACAAAATCTTTACTTTCTTTCAGTTTAATCTAAGCCGAAAGTGCTAGGGGAGGTTGGGAAAAGGTACTATTAGTATTTAGCATTGAATCAATATTAATATTGTTTCATTTCACTCTCCCAGTACATCCACAAAGAAGACAGTACCCTCATTTTACAGTGAGAAACCTGAGGCCTAGAGGAGTGAAATCATTCACTGAGCTCATACTAAGTCATAAGGACTCAAGCCCACCTCTGCCTGTGTTCAGAGCTCCAGCATTTACCTATATTACAATTTTATGGCCATTGGGTGAGTGAATACTTGTTTTGCCTTCCCAACACTCCTTCTTTGAGTAACAGTGCACCTGTTTTCCTCTGCAGAGCTAAGCCCTCCTGCTCTCAATTCTCGTCCCTCCTCCCACAGGTGTCAGAGGCAAGGTCATGGGCCTGATGTATCAGACCACATCCTTCTGTGCACAGTGATTGGCCCAGCCAGTGGTGGGCACATGACCAAGCTGCACCAATTGGCATCAATGCCTGGACTCTTGCTGGAAATATTGAAAAAGAGTCTTGTTTGTTTCCTCTGGGATTGTTAAAGTGTAGACTGTAAGCCTAGAGTAGTTGATGGCCATCTGAGAGAGACTGTAAGCCTACCATAGCCTGATGTTTTCCAAAAGGGGTGAGGGAGCCTGCCTGAAAATGAAGGTAATAGAGAAGTATATTAATTTGTTTTCACATTGCTATGAATAAACACCTAAGACTGTATAATTTATAAGGAAAGAGATTTAATTGGCTCATGGTTCTTCAGGCTATACAGGAAGCATAGCATGAGCATCAACTCCTAGGGAGACTGCAGGAAACTTCCAGTCATGGTGGAAGGTGAAAGGAGAGCAGGTGTGTTTCATGGTCTGAGCAGGAGGAAGAACAGAGACTTGGGAGGGAGGTTTTGTTGTAGGACTTTTTCCTTAGTTCAGCTAAGAGCCGGGTTCTTGTCACATGCCCATGAGAGACCAGGCTTGCAGACACTTTGAAGGGCAGGAAGAAATGGAATTTATTGGGCAAAGGGGAAAAAAAGCAAGACAGGGACCCTCCACAAAGCCAGAATCCTGCTAGTGTGCTTCCTGCCTCACAGACTGAATCCCAGTTTTCACCCAGAAAGAAGAGGGGCCGGGCTGCTCCCTGCTGAAAACAGCGTGAACTTCCCAAGGCTCCACCCCAGTGCATACTCCTTCCAGTGTGCAGGCCAGTTGGAGTTTCTCCTGGGACTCCTTTACACTTGGCTGTCTCAGTTTCACATGCTTTTAAATGACCAGATCTCTCAAGAACTTGCTCACTGTTGTGAGGACAGCACCAAGGGGATGGTGCCAAACAATTCATGAGAAATTTGCCCCCAAGATTTAATGCCCTACCTCCAGCATTGGGGATTACAATTCAACATGAGATTTGGGTGGTGACACACATCCAAATCACATCAAGAGGAAGGCAGAATCAGAGCAACAATTTCCAGAAAACATTGGATCTAATTTTGCCTGAAACGGGCACTTATTCCTATGCTTTCAGTTCTATGAGCTAATACATTATTCTTTTTCCTTTTAAGACGTCTGGGTTATTGTTACTTGAAACCAAGCGTCTGGAAGAATATAACCTCCAAGAGAGTGCAGAGGATGTTTATTTCTCTTTCTCCCTGCAAAAGTCAGTACCCGCAAAAGTCTCTATCAACTTCACTTAAACTTTCCTTCATGGAGGTAAATAGTGCATGGTTTTTGGCTCTACTGTGTCTCAGAACTCTGTCCCCAGGGCCATATTTCTGTACACCTGGTGATGCCAGGCTTCACATGCTCAAGTATGGATTGGGCAGCCTCCTGATTGAATGTTAACCAACATCTCTCCCTCTGTCCTCTCCAGGGCCTCTGCTATCCAGTTCTGGCTCCTTTTCTCAGGAGACAGAGTTTGTCTGGGGTCATGCTGTGACCCCAGACAAGCTCTGTCTAACATTGAGGATGTCATGTTCAGAGTCTGTATGACCTGCTCTATGCTGGCAGCATGAATGAAGGCTGAGGATGACCAGTCCTCATTTCCAGTAATGCTTTTTCCAGACTCAGATTCCTAGAATCTCCCCTTTGGATAGCCTGCTGGATGTAGCCTAATCTTTATAAGCTGAGCGTCAAAGGAGCCCTTAACTATCTTTTTATTAGGAATGAGAGAGGTTGTTGGGTGCTGCATTTGACCTTACCTGGCCTCACCATCTGTCTCACTGCTAACATCTGGGACCCAGATTGATTGTTCTGTTTTTTCCTTTAGAGTTCCCTCCTCCAGGGTTATCAGAGCCCATTTATTCAAGGGAATGGGGTGACTCTTCTGCTTCCCGTTCATGTTTCCCGACTGCTCCCAGGCAAGCTAGCATCTGAATTGCTAGGTATACCATTGCTGTATACAAACAGGAGATGTCCTCTTTCCCATAACCAGAGCAAAATGATAGGTGTTTTCACTGCATTGGGTCTTTAAGTTTTGCCCAAGAAATGATCCAATTGGGTTTGGGCAGTACCTTCTCTACACTTACAGTCTATGGAGTCCGAACCAGATAATTCTCTGAGGTGCAAGGAGTCCTGCCTGTATTGACTAGCACAGCTTATGCAGGGCCTCCTCCTTGAGCTTGGATGGTTTGGCATCCTCCTCCTCACCATCAGAAGGGATCTTCCTCTTCAAGCCAAGTCTGGGGTTGAAGATTGCAGCAAGTGCTTTATGATGAGACATCTACAATTATGTGTTGGAGGCTCATAAGTGTATAGCTCTCAGAATCACCAGCCTCAATATGTAAGCAGAGACTTTTAATCTACCTTCTGGAAAGTATTGGGTATCTAAACTGCACAGCCTGGAAACCTGAGGCATTTGTTCCCCAAAGACAAAGCACTGTTCAGCTTGAGGATATGAGTGAGTTACACATAGGTCTCTATGATGTTCTCTCCATCAGCCATCTCTTTCCACCTTGATCCCTGCCTGTGTAGTCCTTGAGCCAGGGATGAACTTATCTTGTTGTTGCAGAAGTATTCTCTGAGACCAATCTCAGCTCTTGCTAAGGAAGAGCTTTGTGAAACGCCATTGACAACAAATCCAATGCCTGTCTGAGGACATGAGTTTGACCTCTAGCAGCGCTCCTTGGCAGCATTTGGTCTTGACCAACACCTGTAAAATAGTTCACTCTGGAAGTCTGACATCATTTTGTAAGAATGAAGCCATTTTTTTCCAGAAATACTGAGTAGAGGATAGCTTGCAGATCAAATTCCATAATGCCTGGCAGGGAAGTCTGAATGGATGATCAGATTAAAAGTGTGTCGGTGAGTCCTAGAAAGAAGGAATCCAGCATGATAGGCCATATTCTTTAGTAGGGCTTGATAATCGTGAGGAAGGACACAACTTTTTCTCTGCCCTCTTAATGTTGTGGCTGAGAGAGATGAATTAAGCTGACAAAAGACAGATTAATAAGGGAAAATCCTTCAAGTTTTATTTGATGTTAATATTTGCACGTGGCACAGGAAGGGGACCTTCATAGAAAAAAAGCGAAAAACTCAAGGAAGTGGTGAGATTTGGGGGCTTATGTACCATTATAACAAAAGGCGATAAATTGTGGGGAAGTGACTAGACAAAGAAAAGAGATTTGGGCTTCTAGGGGTGGTAATTGAGGGAAAGAAACTGGGAAATATACGGGGGAAACTAATGGACAATAAGGGTTATTTTTGTAAGGTTTATTTGTGCAGATTTGTGTCAGAGTTGACTTCTCATCTCCAGTGATAATAATATTTTCTTCTTCCTAGTATTGGAAAGACAAATACCTCATAGAGAATTTATACCCTGCTTTCAGGCAGAAAGGAGGAGGGCAGAGATCTCTTCTTGCATTTGCTGTTTCTCAATTGCCTTCACCTGATAATGGCATATTTTGGGATGGCATGTTCTAATCTTCAGTTCCAAGAATAGCATCCTGACACCTACCCTGAAACAAGCTATAGGAAAAACCTTTTTGTGACCTGAATGTTCTGTTATACTGGATCCCAGCACACTATAATATTTAAGATGTTGTGCATCCTTCCTAAGTGAGTTAGAAAGGATACAATAATTAGGTAGATTTTCCTTTCCAACAGGCACTACTGAAACCTTCTGAGACTGGTGACATAGCTCTGCCCCCTTGACTGGGGCAGAGGTCCAAGCCAGTGCGGGTAGCAGCCTCTGTGCAGAGAGGAACAAGGCTGCAGAATGGTGCCTCCATAGCAACACAGACTCAGGGTGAGGGGTAGCCAGGGTTCACTCTTGGCACATGTTAAGACACATCCTGGTGATTCCCAGGATTATGTGGAACAGAAGAAAAAAAACCTGAGAATTGAAATTCTTGACTAGGCCAATAGATGCTTAGGCCTAGGGAGTTTCAGGCATTAATATTCATGTGATCACATTCAACTCACCCTGGGGAGGCTAAGGAGCATCTGGTCTCGCGGTGGTTGGGGAGGATGTCTTGTGAGGAAGCTGTTAATTCTCCACAAAGTGTGAATTTGCACCAGTCTAAGATGCAAATCATTTCTCTCCCTGCCTTTCTCCTTTGCATC